TCTATATATATATATATAAATGGACGTGTGTGTCCCTATATTTCACTTTTCAGCCAAAACTACACATCGCACATGAAAGGTGTTTGTATGTGGTATTAGCCCCAAGTCTCCATTCGTGCACTATGGTGGTTGCGTCTCGATAGCTATAAGGGTGCGGGAGATATGGGCTTGAAAGTGGTTGAAAGTGGAAGATTTTCTATTTCGATTTTTAAAATGTTCGAACCGTTTTAAATTCAAATTGGTTCGATTATAGAACGATTGTAAACGTTCTAGAAAATTGATCAAACTGAAAATAGTTCGTTTGACTGGATGTAAAAATTCTCTTAGTCTGGAAACGGGGACCTAATACTTGCATTCTGTGAAAACGGGTAAGATTGGCTATAATGTAATTATCTTAATCTTCACTATTGTTACTTTTTGCCCACAAATAAAAACCCAGCGAAGCGGGTCCTTGCAGCTAGTTTTTATATAAAATTACTGATTATATCTGAGAAGTACCAATATTTGAATACCTGGCAGAAGCTCTTGGGAACAATGAGAAAGAACATTGTCAACTGTGCAACAAAATGAGATGAATAATAGACAAAACTCAAAATTTTTTGTTTTCTTTATAAAAATTGCCATTCTTTTCTATTGAGCTACTAGCTTGTAAATTTAAATAAGATTTTTTAAGAAATGAATTAAAAGAACGATTTTGTAATTAACAAACATATTTATACATATAAAAAAATAAATAAATAAAGTATGTAATATGTAAATTAAAAAGTCTTGAAGGACAGTTGATATCTATCCCAAAATTAACAAATATACATAAAAAACAGACAACAATTATATAAAATTTAAAATATATTACATTAAATACAATATAAATTAAAACAAAAAAGTATAAAAGTTCTTTGAAGGAATTTGTTTTTGAAGAACTGCTTTTCTTTGATTTGCTTTGTTAATTGCTTCTTACAAAATAAATAACGTTGTTACAATATGTTGTTCCAATATGTTGTTTTTTTGTAAGTTGGAAATAACTCATAAATCATAGTTTGTAACTTATAACTTGTATCTCATAAGTCTTAACTATATATTTACATATACTTTACCAGTATTTACAAAAAAAATAAACAAATAAAAAATACGTGCCAAATCGTAGCTTGCTAAGTGTGCAAAACTTCTCAAGTTTCTGCAAAAAGTTCTAAATTCTTACATTCAAATTGTGACCAACTCTCATCTTTAGTTGAAATCACTTTGAATTAAACCATTTTAGATGTGTTAAAGTGATTTTACTGTAAAAAATGAACATAACTTTGTGACTTTTATCTGGTATAGTTTAAAGAAAAAAGAAAACCAAAACCTGTACAACATTTAACAAAAAGCACACATTAAAAAATTTATGCATGTAACTAAACAAATATAACAGCATTGTATGGTTCTGCTGATGCATATAAACTTAAATAAAAATTAATTTGATTTTATTGTAATTGAAACAAATATAATAAAACAAAAGCATATTTTTTGGATTTAAAAATCTTCAAAAAAAAATAGGAATATATTTGAAACTACTGTTTTCAGATAAATTGTTACAGATGTGTCTGTTCAATTCTACTTTGCCATTCTTGTTATGTAGTGGAAAAAATAGTATAAATTAGCACATTTTAATTATAAAATATGCTAATTCATAAAATATTTACTTATAATACAGTAGTTTGCATAAATATAAGTTGAAATAATTCTATAGGAGATAATCTAACCAAACTTTTACAAAGCATTTGATAATTGTTACTATCATAATTTAATCAATAAGCATGATTAACTGATCCTAATTAAGAGATTTATAATAAATTATAATTATTATTAATAGTAGAGTTTTATTATTTATTTTTGTGATGATCTTTGGGGCTGCAATTTGAAAAAATTGTAGATCTATAAATTTCCACTGTCTGTTATTTCTTAATCTCAAGAATAGTTAAATAGATGAAAGCCAAGACCAGATATGGAAAGATTGGAGGCAGGAGGTACCGATTAATTATATATGAACTTCTAGTGCAAACCAGAAGTCGCATTACTTCAATTCAAAAATTTTCCTCTGAAAGGAGTTACATAGATGATCGGCATTACTCTATTGCTGACAGAAAAGTATGATATATAGGGACAGACACTACTAATTTGAGGTGGAGAGCATATATTTTAAATTTAAAAATTATTAAAAATTGCAGATTGGCATTGTGACAATGTTACAATAAATAATTGCTCATTTAATATTGGAAACTTGTCATTTTGTTTATGATAAAGATAATAGAATAGAACAAAATTATGGAATCTGAAAACACAAAATTCAAGACAAGACTCTTCAATCTATCATTATGCAAGAGAAAGTCATTTCTAATACACTAGGTCACAAAAGTATCCGAACACCTATAAAATGGAAGTTTTTTAGTTATCACTCATTTCCTACTTGAAATAAGAAAAAAAATGATGACAGGTATAACATCTTCAGACTTTTTTTTTACACTGGAAAACAGTACTTATGTATATAAAAACATTCATCAAAAAGAGAAATATACTTTTATTTAAAACTGTGAAAATTTTCACATCACAAAAGTATTCAGACAGAAGAAATAAATAATGATAAAAATATATATATATTTTATACATTTAAAAATGATTGCTCATTTTGCTCTGATAGCGACTAGGCATTGATTCATTCAAATTTTTATAAGTTTTCTCTATTAAATTCAAAATCTGATGGTGGTGATTTTGAGATCAGATTCTGTTATTGAATTGATTCCCTTCTGATTTGTTCATTCAATATGGCAGTATTGCCTGATACTGCAAATTGTTATCGGTTATTATCGGTTTTTACCAGTGCATTAAAATCAAATATATATTTTAATAATTATTTGCTTACTGTACAGTAATTTAACTTGCTGCCATTTTTCTTCAATTATATGTTTAGCATGTTTTTTAAATGTCTGAATTAATCAAACTAGAATTTCTATTAATTATAGTCAGTTAACATTATCAGTTAGCTATCATCAGTAGAAGCAAGTCTTGAAAGCAATTACAGTGTAGATTTTGCTGTATCTTGAATGACTTGAATTTATGTTAATAAACAAATGTAATGTCTTTGTAGTAGTATAATGGAAATTAAATGTATTAATTTTACTATGCTTGCCTAAGCAAATAGTTTTAGAATAACTATAATTTATAATGATATAATAATTTAAATTAATATATTTTTAATTAAAATATATTGTACATTAATGCAAATTTGTATACAGATTAAATTTACAATCCTGACAAATTATACAATATTTCTGTTATTATTTTGGGTTAAAGATTATTTATTGAAGGTACACATCAGCAAATTTGGCAGTATTATTATTCTTATGATACACTATAGGGTATTGCAATTTCAGTTTGTTAAAACAGTAAACTTTTTGCAATATTCATATATGGGTCAGAAATTTATATAATATCTACATAACTGTTTTATGCAACTTTTAGATTGAAGGTTTACTTCAATACTTTTAGATTTAAGGTTAAATTTCATGGAATTTTAGTATTTTAATAACAATAAGTTATAGAATTAAATATTTATTAACATAATTGTATTCAAAATTAATGTTTAAAATATAATCAATTTATTGTATTTGTAAAACTATTTTATTTTTTCTATTATGATCAGTTTCTTTATAACAAAGTGTGTAAGTGTAAACTAAGATATTATAAGTTATTTTACTAAATCGAAATGCTAGTGAAGAATGCTTCATTAGTGTTTTAATTTTAAAATACTTCAATAATAATATAACTTAATATCATCAGCAGTATTAAATAACTTTTTATAAAACTCTTAATAAATATTTTCTCTTACAGGAATATTAGATCAAGGAAAAGGAGTTCTTATTATTTTTCAGGATACATCTATTGACAAAACTTATGAAGCTGCTTTAGAGACTATTCAGCACATGGGAAAAGTTGTGGACTCTCTGTATCATAAAGCAAAAAAATTATCATAATTTTGAATTTTGTCTCTCATCAAATTTCATCTGCAAAATTGACATTAAATCCATTTTTATGCATCTGCAGGATTAGTTGAGAATTTGATGCTCAAAATTATTTGGGTGATTGTGCAGAAGCTGACTTTAAATTAAACATTTAATACTCCAGCAGAATTTTCATCTGATCTCACATGCAGTGATTTGGTCATTTCAGTTTTTGAAATTTTATTATTATTGTCAAATTAATTCTACATTTGTTTTTATATGTTATACTAGTATTTATCATAATACTAAAATATTTGTTATTGAAAACTTCAAGACAAAATATTTTTAATGTTCTTATTAAATATTATTCTTTGGTCTGTTATTAATATTTAAACTAAGTTCAACATATTTCTGTTGTTGGTTTTTTATGTATAAATTTAGAGATTAAATTTTTTTTCTTTGCTAAGTATTCCTACTTTGGCAATTGATAAAGTATTAAATTGCAAATATTTATTTGAAGAAAAGCTATCCATGCAACTTTTCCTGTATTAGATGCAACATGTTTGACAAAAAAAAATAAATATAAAATTATATTTAAAGAGTATGAATTATTATTGTATTAATATAGTTTTAGAAGCATAATTTTATAAATTTTTATATTATATTTATATTGATTTCTTTTTATAGTTCAAAATGATATAAATGCATTTGTAAGACTATAATCTGAAGCTTTAGAATTTAAATATTCAAAAACTTCCAGCACTAATTATTAAGAGAGTTTAATAAGTTATACTAAATGGTGTTAATGTAGGTTATTAATAGTATTATTTAAGTTGAATTTTGATTTTTTCCATGATTAATAACACATGTATATAAATTTTACATCGATAAATAAATAATATCACTGATAAATGTTATTTGTATTTAATAAAGATAGAAGAAAAAAAAATAAAACTTATTATTGAAATGAAAATGCACTAGTGCTCAAAATTAGAGTATTGTCTACAAAAGGGTACAAACTAGCATGAAATTATAAGCATGAAATGTGATGAAATTCTGTGCAAGCGAAAACTCAGCAATTCAGAAAACGAATGCACATCTGTAAATGCATAAAATGTATGATATGGCTCTGAAAATGCAAATTACTGAAAAGCTGAAACAGTATAGCAGTTCTCTCACTTCACATCATCAGGAGATGACTGCTAGGCAAATCACTCAGAACTAGCATCTGTAAGAGGAGCAAGAATGTGTGTGCGCGCAGATTTCAAGAGGGGTTTTTATTTGAGAAGAATTTTGTGTTCCTTTCAACAGAAACACAGAGTTAATATGGACCCATCATTCTTTGAACTTTACCAGTGCGACACACATTCTTTTCTTAAATGAGTCCCAGCTCTCTAAGATAGAGGTGAAATCCTGGACTATTTTGTCAGACTTTTCATGGGAGCTGTTAGCCTGAAGTTAATTTTTGTGGACAACATTCTCTGACCTCATTAGGGCCAGCTGATGGACAACTTCCTGGAAATTGAAAACATTCAGCAAATGTAGTAGCCACCCAGATTCCCGATCTCAACTCTATCGAGCACATATGAGATACACAAATGAGACATATTGCAACAGATTCCTCCAGGAGCTCCAAACATCACTTGTACAGAAATGGATCTGATTGTCCAGGACGTTATTAATGTGCTTGTCAGCAGTATTAGGAATTGTTATGACAGCTATATACCTGTCAGAAGTTATCATACATAATAAGCTTTCGTGTACTGCAACATCAAACATGTAAATATTGCCACTTCCTGTTCGTGCAAAAGAGTCTTTAAATTTCATAAGTGTTGGCATCGCTCCCACATTTCTAACAATAAATCTCTATACAACAAAATTTTGCACATTATTCTTTAATTTTGAGCACCAGTGTACTTTATCAAGGAAGCACCAATAAGAACATTTTATTAATTGTTTGTTAATTAAAATCTGGTGTAAGGATGCTGAACAAACTAGCGCTATCTGTAATAACTAATTAAATTTGAATAGCCTTGATTATATTGTTATAAACAAATGGTGTATTTATGAATTGTCAGAAACGTGTAACCAAAGCGAAATCTACGTATTAATGATATTTATGATTTTAGAGGAAATAATAGGAATCGTCAGTAATTCACGCTTCTTTATAGTTCACTGACCCTAGGTCGAACAGAAATCACGTGACTGGACAAAGTATTGATCGAGAAAACTATCACGTGATCTTATGCTACAGTTTGATTGGTACAATACGTTGCAATAAATAATATAGTTAAGCTTAGTAACTCAGTAAAAAATTTAACAGAATTATTAATAAAATATTTAATGTAAATCGCGTTTTGAACCGATATTAAAATCCTAATATCGAAGATTTTATTTGGCATCAGTTGGCAAACAGCCATATCGTTTCTTCTTATACCCAATTCTAAAATGTGAACGTATTCTTAATATTTAGTGTCAATATATTTAATATGACTATTCATACGTTGCTATTATTATTAATTTTTTTTCCTGCAATCTTACGGCTCGTTTACTTTAAAATATTTTTATCAAATGATAGTAGTAGTAACAGAATTTAAAAAGAAAAATGTTTACACACGTATGAAACAAGAAAAAGAAACATGATATTAATATCGGTAGGATGATGGCGAAATTCAAGTACAGAATCGTGGAGGAAGTTGCCTAGTAACTACGCTAAAAAATAGGTAGTCTGGCTTTTGGCCAATTCACTTCATAAACGGTCTAGACAGAGGTATTAATGTAAGGAAATAGGTGATTCCTTTTTTCCCTAGCTTGTCCGTTATTTAAAGATTGTGTTTTGACATACGAATTAAAATAATTACAGAATTTTCAGAGTTATAATCAAATTAGATTATATATGAAATAATTATATCAACACAGTTTTTAACCTGTATTAATAAATAGTCTAAATTAGCTAAACATTGATTTTGTCAATTGTTTAAAACGTTTTTAATATATTTACCTTGTTCATCGCTTTAAATTTCAGTCGGAGAAAATTAAAATTCTAAAACAAAATAAAAATATAATTATCCTCTCAACAAATTAATTAAGTTAGAATAACGTAAGTTACTCTAAAAAATAATCCGCTTTTCGGAATTCTTACAAGTATTCACCGAAACCCTTTCCTCTTCTACGCTGGAAGCCATCAAGAAAACTCCTACAGACGGTCGACACGTGACCTTTAAGTCATACAAGCGAAGGACACTCGATAAAAGGGTAATACGGTCTCAAGAATGGTGAAATAATTAAGCGGTATTGATCTATATTCGGGTGGTTGACGTGTCTTAAATTTTTACATGATTAGTGTAATATCTTATAATAGGGATACAATAGAATGACGTCATAAGTGGAGTGGAGAGAGCAAGAGAGAGAGAGAGCAATGGGACGTCGCCTACATCTAAGAATGAATCATCACAGGAGCTATGTTGACAGTAATACAACTATCTTGTTATCATGTGATATGTTTAATCAATAAAATGTGCAAATTTTCATGTACTCTTGCTTTCTTCTTCAAGAAAATTCTGTTTACTTTCTGTATAAAATAAATTCGATTTCTTCAAATAAAATTATATTATTATTTCGTTTAAAATTGTAAGTGGACTTTTCTAAATGCATTTTAAAANATTATTTCTAACTTTATTAAAGAATTAATTGAATATATTCAATTTAAAAATTCATAAATTGAATATAAATAAAAGTATATTTGTGTTTATATGACTGATAAGTTTATGACTATTCACTGAATTAACAAGTTCTGAAAAAAAAACTTATTTTTATACCCGAAAAAATAATAATTTCAATAACTCAATTCATCCTCGTTATCATGGGTAGTTGCATTTATTACAGCTCGTTCCACGAATCTTGTCCGGGCTATAAAAATGCACAGTAACGGAGACCTATCTTATTTACTTATTGAAGAGAACGGAATCTAACGAGGTCATTGTGTGTTACCGAAAAAGGGCTCTTGAACTTGATAAAACTTGTAGAGCTCTACCGAATACCACGCATTGCTCAACTAATAGGTGGTTTCATACTGTATATATATGTTTATTCAAATCTTAATTTGTAGAATTACAGTATGAAATTTAAATTTCTAATTATTTCATTCTATAACTTAACAAATTCAAATTGCAAACATTGACAAAAATAATTTCGGAAACGTACAGTAACTTGTTTATCATTTGTGGTTTAATACAATTTCACATATATTACAAGAATTAATGATTATGTTAAGAGTTTTCGTTCTGTAATATTAAATACGTAATAGTTCTTATCTCCGTTATGTTTATATTGTAACCATGCTTAATTCTTTGTAAATATTATTTTTTATCTAAAAAAAAATTCGTTTCAGTTAAAGTAATCTTGAAAGAACGCAGCACACTATATAATACAATTTTCAAATGACATTAGATTCAACATATAAGCCATACATCTTTGTTAATAAAAGCTTATACTGCATAATAATGTACACGTAAAATTGTATTACAGTAATTGGAGTATTGGTAAAATAAGCCGCTTCAAATTTGAAAAGTACTGTACATATCCAGGTCAAGTATTTTTATTTTGTTCTTCATACTAAACTAATAAAATCAAAGTGTACTGCTTGCTTCCCTCACTCTATTCATATTGTTCATATAAGTAAACAAAAATCTCGGAAGACAATAATACAGTAGGTGAGTGCTAGGTAAGCAAGAGAAAACGAAATTCGTATTGATACGAAAGATGAAATTCCAAATATTTGGTCTATTTCTCTAATTTTGCATAAGTTTTATTGAAAATGACCAAACAATATAACTGTGTTTATATATATTTTACATATTATCTTCAAGTTTCGTTTTAATGCGAATTTTATATACTTTTGCGGTGTCTTCGCTAAGGATGGACATAAATTTTCCTGTCGCTTAAGGGATTGTTTGGAATTTTATCTGATAATTTTTTGTTGATAAGCCTAATTCAGATGAGATTTTTTTTTACCGTATCCACGTGTATGTTCTC